TGTCTCCAGGCGAGCTTGATGAGCTTCGCCGCCAACTCAAGGAACTCGTAGAGAAGGGTTGGATCCGGCCGAGTGTCTCTCCTTATGGGTCTCCAGTTTTATTCGTGCCTAAGAAGAAGGAGGGAAGGATGTGCATTGACTATAGGGGCCTCAATGCCATCACGGTGAAGAACAGAGAGCCCCTACCGCGCATCGATGATCTGTTAGATAGAGTGCAAGGGTGTCGGTACTTCAGTAAAATAGATCTGAAGTCTGGGTACCATCAAATTGCAATCCGGCCCGAGGATCAACACAAAACCGCATTTCAGACCAGGTACGGTCTATACGAGTTTGTGGTGATGCCTTTTGGTCTTTCCAATGCTCCTGGCACCTTTCAGCACGCTATGAATCGGATATTCCATGACTACTTGGATAAGTTTGTCGACGTGCACCTCGATGACATACTTATTTTTAGTAAGACTGTCAAGGAACACGTAGCACACTTAGACAAAGTTCTCAGTCTCCTGCGACAGCACAAGTTCAAGATCAACGGTGAAAAGTGCGAGTTTGGCCGCACTCGTATCTTGTATTTGGGTCATGAGATCTCCGCGGAAGGGTTGAAGCCCGATAACGCGAAGGTGGCCAGCATTCGTGATTGGCCACGTCCTCAGTCTGTGACTGAGCTGAGATCTTTCTTAGGAATGACAGGCTACTATACGACTTTCGTTAAGAATTACAGCATAGTGGCCGCTCCTTTGACTGATCTGACCCGCCTTGACACCCCTTGGGARYGGACARATGAGTGCGAGGCTGCTTTCAGACATCTGAAGCATGCATTGACGCACTATGAAGTCTTGAAGCTACCCGATCCTGATAAGCCATTTATAGTAACCACGGATGCTAGCCAATATGGCATTGGCGCCGTGCTTGCGCAGCAGGAGGGGCCAAAGTTGAGGCCAGTAGAGTACATGTCCAAGAAAATGCTGTCTCAGAATTTGGCTAAGTCCACTTATGAGAAGGAGCTCTGTGCGGTGTACAAGGCTCTCACCCATTGGAGACACTACCTCCTTGGGCGGTTCTTCATCCTCCGGACTGATCATCAGACCCTGAGATGGATGAGAGCACAGCCAGTACTCTCTGACGCTCTCAAGCGTTGGATCGAAGTCATTGAGCAATATGACTTTGACCCTCAGTATCTTAAAGGAGAGTACAACAAGGTTGCTGATGCCTTGTCGCGCAGACCGGACTTCTTAGGTGCGCTGATTACTGAGTTCGATCTGACGGACGATGTTACTCAGTCTTTGGTGGAAGCCTATCGTCAGGACCAATTTATGTCTGAGATCATACGCTGACTTGAGGCGAAGGATAAAAAGACCTCCGCCGAGTTTGAGTTGGTCAATGGATTGCTGTTCCTAGAGAAGGCAGGGAATAAACGCTTGTGCGTTCCAAGTAGCGAGTCTTTGCGTAGTTTGTTTTTAGGCGAGTGTCATGATGCCACCGACCATTTTGGGTACAAGAAGACCGCAGCCAACTTGCTGCAGCGGTTCTGGTGGCCAACGATGATGAAAGATGCACAGCTGTACGTGGAAACTTGTCAAGTATGCCAGAGAAACAAGCCCCGTACTCAGGCGCCTCTTGGGCTGCTCAAGCCCCTTCCGATTTCGGAAAGGCCAGGTGAAAGTTTATCCATGGACTCCATGGATACGCTGGTCACCAGCAAGAGTGGGATGAGACAGATCTTTGTCATCGTGGATAGGTTTAGTAAGTTTGCTAGATTAATAGCTATGCCAGAAACAACAAAGACCGAATACGTGATCAGGCTATTTAAAGAAAACTGGGTCAGAGACTTTGGACTACCGAAGTCTATAGTCAGTGACAGGGACGTCAGGTTCACGAGTGAATTATGCAAGGCCGCTGCAGCTGAACAAGGAACTCAACTGCAGATGACTTCTGGAAATCATCCAGAAGCTAATGGCCAGGCTGAACAAATGAACCGCGCTGTGCAACACCTGTTGAGGCACTACATCAAGCCCAATCAGGTACACTGGGACGAAAAGCTTGCTCTAGTCGCTAGTCTATATAACAACGCTGTGCACAGTGCTACCGGGACGAGTCCTAACAGTCTACAACTGACATTCAAACCTAGACTGCCCTTAGATTTCCTACTTCCAGACAACCAGCCAACTGCTACACCGGGCACTCTGGAGTTCGCCTATAGATATGAACAGAAGATGCAGGAGGCTGTAGAACACATGCAGAAGGCACAGGCAGCAATGATAGAGTCTGAGAATAGACACCGCCGCCCTTTCTACATTTTAGGTAGGGGACAGAGTCTGGGTCAAATCTTCAGAACTGGGACAGGAGTTCGGGATATCCCGCAAACTCATGCCTCAGTACTTTGGACCTTGGGAAGTTTTAGACGTAGTAGGGACAGATCCTGATGGTCCATCCTATGTCATCCGTATTCCTGGTCATCTCAGAACTTACCCAGTCTTTCACGCCTCTAAGCTCGCTGCATTCGAGGAAACTGATCAGTTTCCCTCTCGTCGATCCATGCTGCCCCCAACCATGGACGGAGAAGTCGACATCGATGATATAGTTGACCACAGGGAGATGCCAGTTCAAAAACCTCCAGGAAGGGGACGTCCTCCAAAACCAAAGCTGCAGTTCCGAGTCCACTTCAGACATCATACAGATCCGAAGGAGGACCGCTGGTTTACTCGGGAGGAACTGATGCAGACCGCTCCTCAAATCGTTGCCCGCTATGAGAAGGATGCACTGAAAGGAAAGCGCCAGATGGCTACAGATTGATCTTCGAAGAGGACTAACGAAGATATGGAGGAGGGAATGCGAGGCTACGCCCGCGTAGCCCCTACGGGGCCCTATCTGCAACAAGGTCGGCCGCCCTAAGTGAAGGCAGGCACGACAGGCCCTTCGGGCCTCATTCTTCAGGGTACCCCGCAACGGGGAAATTCAGATAGTTGCATTGCGCCAGTTGGTTGAATGAATCCAGGCCCTGGGCCGCCTGTGTAAATGAATGTGAAGCAGGCCCTGGGCTGGATACGGGTACCAGGCCAAACACAGGCCGAAAGCAGT